ACCCAACCCCCAAACACAAACCCCCACCACATACATTTCTTGACAAAAATCGGCGTCGCTCCATCATGCGCTTGAATCTTCCTGCGGCATCATCGATGAGCCGTAAAAAGTTGATAGAAACTTCCGAGATGCAAGTCGACTTGAAATATATCCCATCTACATGTGTAGCTAATGCGCGCAGGAGACACAAACCAAAGTTGCATCATAAAAAAATTCATAGTATTTGAATTTGTGTGTGGAAGTGGGTTTCAAGAAGGGTTTGGACGTCCGTGGTGTTTATACGGCGGCCACGTTCAGCCGTATCGCACATTCGCACACCATTACCTGCCCGATATAATACGAAAGTCGTGCGGGAGGCGATAACGCCTTTCGGAATGGCACGTGCAATCCATATAGAGATTACTCCACCACCACGCAGAGTAAAATATCGAAATATGAAAAAATCCGCCGTAAATCGTCAAAAAACACTCAAAAAACTAGTTTAATAAACATATGTGTACATTATGTATTTGTACATTGTATGTTTGGTTGCATACTTTACGATTGGAGCAGGTTTTTATTTTATTTTCACCCCCGAGGGTAGATTAAACGATTTTTAAGGGATTTTATGTTGATTGTGTAGCGATAACGCGCGACTGGTATAAAAATACGAGGAGAACAATGTGCCGCCTGATCCCACCGCACATAAACTTTAAAAGGGTAGGGGGTGGTTTAACAATGGCCAACACCTACACCTACACCTGAAAACGTAATCTTTGATTTGTTTCTCTTACGCTACGTAAAATAAAATTACGTTATTTTACGCTTAACTAAAACTAAAATAAAATTTTAAAGAAAATTTTTTGTTTGAATTTTGTGAAAGTCTGTGAAATTTGAAGTTAAAGTTTATGATACCATTAGCATTAGGCGATTAGAAGTATACCTGGTTACATATCTGAAATGATGGCCGCCGTCGGAGTGTCGCGCCGTAATGCAATAACAAAAGTAATCTAATCGCGCATGAAACACTCAGCAAAGCGCAGCAAAGAACGAAAGAAGATGAAAAAAGTCGCGCGGCGGCGGCGCGCTTTTAATAAACGCGTAATAAAATTAATTGAATGCGTATATAAAGTTTATGGCACCAAAACAAACATAAATATACATACAATATAAAACAACAAGATGTTGAAATTCATTTAATTGCATGCTCGTTTTGACGTTATTCGATTTAACGACAAACTCCATATAACGGTAAAATATGTAATACAACAGACCTATTTTTTCTTATAAATTAAAATTTCATCTTTTCAATTTCGATTTTAACTAGCCTATCTTGTTGAGAATGTTTCATAGGCTAAGAATCTGAGATTTGGCCTTCCTATCTCTTTTAGTTTACGAGATATTCACATTTGAAGAAAATGGTCAAAAATTGCAAAATGTCACTTTTTAGCACTTTTAGTCGCATTTTTCGACCTATTACTGTTTGAAATTAAATAATTTTAAATACCTATCTGATAGAGAATTATTCATTCTTCCGGAATCTACAATCCGCTGGTTGCTATGTCTTTTAGTTTAAGAGATATTAATTATTGAAAATCGTCGAAATAAAGTATCAAGCACCCCCCCCTTCCCCATTTTTTTCTTAGGACCAAAAATTTCATCTCTTAAATTTCGATTTTAACTAGCCTATCTTGTAGAGAATGTTTCGTAGGTTAAGAATCTGAAATTTGGCCTTCCTATCTCTTTTAGTTTACGAGATATTCACATTTGAAGAAAATCGTCAAAAATTGAAAAATTTCACTTTTTAGCACTTTTAGTCGCATTTTTCGACCTTTTACTCTTTGAAATTAAATAATATTAAATTGCTATCTGATAGAGAATTATTCATTCTTCCGGAATCTACAATCCGCTGGTTGCTATCGCTTTTAGTTTAAGAGATATTAATTATTGAAAATCGTCGAAAAAAAGTATCAAGCACCCCCCCTTGCCCATTTTTTTCTTAAGACTAAAAATTTCATCTCTTAAATCTCGATTTTAACTAGCCAATCTTGTAGAGAATGTTTCGTAGGTTAAGAATCTGAAATTTGGCCTTCCTATCTCTTTTAGTTTACGAGATATTCACATTTGCAGAAAATCGTCAAAAATTGAAAAATGTCACTTTTTAGCACTTTTAGTCGCATTTTTCGTCCATTTACTCATTGAAATTAAATAATATTAAATTGCTATCTGATAGAGAATTATTCATTCTTCCGTAATCTACAATCCGCGGGTTGCTATGTCTTTTAGTTTCAGAGATATTAATTTTTGAAAATCGTCGAAAAAAAGTATCAAGCACCCCCCCTTGCCATTTTTTTCTTAAGACTTAAAATTTCATCTCTTAGATTTCGATTTTAACTAGCCTATCTTGTAGAGAATGTTTCGTAGGTTAAGAATCTGAGATTTGGCCTTCCTATCTCTTTTAGTTTACACGATAAACGCAATAAGAATAGCAAGTAATATGAAAAAACGTGTAAGTCCATGTTAAGACTCCTCGCTATAACGTGATAAAATACCCGGTACACTGTATTCCAAATTTTTCTGAATATATTTGCTGCAGGTACGAATATGAATTGTCTGTGGGAACGATAAAGGACGTTAACCGCCTTAAAACGTCTGTGGCAGGATATCAGGATATCAATATCGTCCTCCCTCTTCGGCAAAGGTAGTGTTGGTGTATTGGTGCGGCGTCGATATGCGCGTATAAATTGTGCGATCGGCAACCCTTATCTACCGGCGACCAGCCGCCGACTTCCAACAAGCAGCACAGCCGCCCGCCACCGCAAACATTGCGTATTATTATGTCCATCATACGATCGGATCTTGATGTCTGCACACAGTCTGTACGTGTGAGCCGACATTGACGACGTAATAATTTATTTCCAACACTTTCCAGCCTTGAATCAATGCGTGATTTTTGTTTTGATTTGCGTAATAATTCAACCGCAAGATATGCGCGAATACTCAACGCCACCCTTTTTATCCCCGTCGACGTCCAGAGTCGTCGTAGCCACCACGCCACCGCCACCACCGTCGTGCGGCGCTTATCGCCCACTCGCAGATTGAATATATTTCATATGTTTTCATAAAGCACATCTGGCCGCCGAACCGAACGCCATTCGCGCTATCAGTCAGCGCCAGAGAAGTCCATTATGAGACGATGGAGGCGGCAGGCGGCGGCATGACGTCGTCGTCGTCGCCCCGCGCGCGTCGTCCGTCACACACGCACACAGCGTGTTTATATAAATGGTCGTGTTTGCCGAAAAACCTTATCGAATTTGCGCACACTAGCCGCAACCCCAAAAAATTCCAAAACCTGCACCTACACAATAAATATAATGCCGCGGAATATAAGCTTCCTTTTATACCAGCAGCGCTGGGCGCGTCGTGTTATCAGATACGAGCAAAAAAGCCACAAAACGACGCCATGATAAAATGGACCTTATCAATATTCACGCAAGACTAATCATATATAGATATGAGGACGTCTTGCATGTAAAACATTAAATATAATTAATTATCTTTAGAAATAAATAATTTTTTAGGTGAAAAATGGACAAAAATTGTATAAAAAATAAAATTTCGTGAAAAAAAAAAGTTAAAAATCGGAATAACTTTTAAACTAAAAGAGATTTTGATATTATTTTTCTTGCAAACGGTAGATATCAACAAACTACATAAAATATACTAAGTTTAAATATTGAAAATGTTATAGTTTTGACAGAATTTAGAGAAAACTTTCAAAAAAAAATGCAAATTTTCTATTTTTATTGAAAAACGACAAAAAGTTGCTTTTTTGTGAGCAATTTTAAGGCCTTTCGCATAGGATTTTAAAAATCTACCAAAAACAATCAAAAAGTACAACTCTTAAGCTATCTAAATATTAAAAAATCAAATAAATAGCTAAAATAGTTTCCGAGAAAAACCAAAAATTCTGTGACAAAAAAAGACGACAAATTTCACCATGAAATTCACCTAACAATTAATTTATGAGCTAATATCTACTATGACAGTTTGTATACTTTAAAAAAATCCATCTCATTACTTATCTATCTCCACCTATACGCGACTCATGCACATGTAGGGGTTGAACACAACATACGCGCATATAATCATCGCATACAGGTCGCTTCGACGTCACAAATTCTCGCAGATAGCGCCCAGATAGCGCACGCACAAAACTATCTGGTGCGTTCGCATGCCGGCGGTGCTGCGGCGTTTTTAGTTTATCAGCCGACGCCCGGCGACCAAAGTCGAAGATAGGGTGATATCTTATGCTGGTACCAGCCGGTCGCGGCAGCACACACCGCGCAAGAGATAAACTCTTAACTTTATTCCAAAACTATTTCGGTTTGATACGCCACATTATAAACAAGAAATAAATAAAATTTTTGTGACATTAATCGAAACTAACCAGTTATTAAGTCATAATATAAATAATTCATCACGTAGAGGGGGTAGAAACGGTACAAGTTTGTAATGAGTGAGATAAAATCGCTTTATGGTTTCGTATAGTCAAGAAAAAGGCGTTTTGTTGTGTGTCTCGTGCGTGGTTTTCGTCTAAACATTTTAAGTCACACTATACTCACTCATATAATACAGTAGCGAGTATTTAAATTATACCGAGTGTATAAATGTATGTTTGGTTGCATATATTGACGGTAAATATAATTGAAAGTAGTTTAAAACAGCCAGTGGTGACTTCCAGAGCAAAGAATATTTTATAAATGCAAATTAATATAAATAAAGATCTTTTTATCGCGCGGGGCGGCCAAGGTCGGGCCTCGGAATATAATCAGTCGTAATAAGTCCGGTAATTGCATGTATAATTTAACAGAAGGTGCCACGCCATGATCGCGATGTCGAGATAAGCGATATCGGGAGAAGCGAGAGACCACGAGACCACTAGACCTCAAACGTCACACATACATATTCACATACGCATAGAACAAAATAAAAATAAAAATAAAAAATGCATTGCTAACCTTTTTTATTCAATTCCTCCGATGTGGCCTCCTCGAATTCACGCGAGTTTGAACTGGACACAGGAAGTTTTTCATGTGGATCGCCTGAAAACAAAAACATAAAATTTTAATTTTTTTGAAGTTTTTTAAAGAGTTTTTTTTATTTGTATTTATACAAATGTATATTATATTTGTGTGTGTTTGTGTTTTGAGAGTTGAGAATTGTCGCTGTGTGTGTAATGTGTAGAGGCGCGATATGATCAGAGGCCGGTCTCATTTTCGAATGATTTCATTGTTGTTTTCGTACCATTAGTGTGTTTAGATCGTCTATCGGCGCGCGCGCTTGTATTTTATACGTTCGCGCGCGCACCTCCTCGTGCAGGCGCGATACCATCGCCTCTTTTCCTTCTTTCCCGAATGTGCATGCACATGCAAGCGGAGAGTGTGTGGATTGTGATGGTGATTTCACGTTACCATTTCCCGTCTCGCTTCCAAACACACACGAGACGAGAAATCTTTGGGTTTCTTACAGTTTAATGCAAGATGGGGACAAAAACTAAAGTTGATGATTCAAGTTTGCAATTAAATTTTTAGGGGTTTTAAGAAGATATTTTGGTGATTTTTAATTTTTCTCAACAAAATTTTAAGATTTTTTTGTTTTTTGAAAGAAAAGTGATAAAAATTAATGTTGTTTACTATAATTGGCAGCTTAAAATAAGTTTAGCTAAAAGTTGGATATATTAGGAAGGTGATATTAATTTGCAACTTCAGTTGCATGTCCCCACACACGATTAACACGGAATTAAAAAAAATCTTCATGTTTTTGCCTTTTCTTGGCTTAAAAACCTCATAAACCTAAGTTGATGACTAAAATTTGCATCTTAAAGTTATATTTCCCTACTTTTAGATATAAATATAATGATTTGCAACTTTAGTTGCATGTTACAACCTCCCATTACGATAATTCTTATTTCTTATTTCTTATTACTCCGTATTGAATGTTTTGTGTATTGCACACACGCAGTTTGTGCCCCTGCTGCTGTGTGTTGGGAAGTTGTCCATAAATGTAAACATTAATCATTTCCGAGAAGAATTTTAATTCACTCAGCCGGGGCGGGCGAGCGCGTCGCGCGCGATTAGGATCGATCGATCGGACGCCGCGATGGAATGCGCACTTCTTCCACGCTCTGCGCGAGCCCTTAACAAAAAGGCGAAAGCAAAGCACGGAGAAAAAAACGAACGAACGAGCGAACGAATGAACGAACGGACGCGCGGCTTCCAGCCGAAGACACATGTTGTCGATGGACCCGACGCAACAGATGGACGCCGAGATGGATGATGGAGGTTGAAAGGATGAAACGCGATACGAAATTTTAATGTGTGTGCTGCGTTAACAATTAACAGGCCATAAAGGTACAGCGAACAGTTAATTAAAAAAGAAATACTATGCGTGAATGAAGTAATCAATAGAGAATTGTAATAAACACATTGGGAAGTTATTTAAAATGAGAGAATTGAGTTATTTTTGTTCGAATTTGAATAAAACTGAGCAAAAATCGCAGAAAAACGCAATATTTGTTGAAAAATTAAGTTTAAAATTGGTATAACTTTTAAACTAAAAGAGATACTGATCTACATTTTGTTGCAAAATGAAGATATTAATCAAATGCATAAAATGACGTTTGTTTAAATATTTATAATTTTATGGTTTGGCTATTATTTAAATAAAACTGTTTTAAAATTACTCAAAAACACAATTTTTACCGAAAATAAAGTTTAAAATCGGCATAACTTTTAAACTAAAAGAGATTTTAACATTATTTTTCTTGTAAATGGTAGATATCAACAAATTACATAAAGTATACTTTGTTTAAACATTCAAAATATTATAGTTTTGTCAAAATTTAGAAAAAACTTTCAGAAAATACAATCATCACTCACGTGAATTAAAATCATCATCTTACGTTTTTCTTAATTACTCAGAAACTACAAAACCCACAAATTTCATTTTTACCCAACATAATCTCTAATAAATTATCTATCCAACCATACAAATTCAAAATCCCTATCATTTCAAACACCCGAGTTATTCCACTTCAAACAATCAATAAAAAATAAACTTTACACAACTTTTAATTAAAAACACGAAAACTAAAACAAAAACAAACCTATCACAACCAAAACACATCGTACATTGTGTTGCCTAACTTTTCCTATAAATCCTAACCTATTTCTACATTTTCCACACCCTGTACACCGATTTATAGCCGAATGTATACGCCACACATCGTAAACGATATGTAAAAAGAGGTCTCAGCACTGTACGTATGTACAGCAGCGGTCGCTTTCGGACTCTTCAATATCGATGCCCGGCACAGGAAATGAGAAGCCGTGTGGGACGTTTTGCTTCTGCAGCTTTTCCATACCGCCGCCCAGCGATTCCTGCGATTTATCTCTGCTCGCATACGAGCGCGCACACATGCACATTAGCTTTCAATTTATTTTAATAAATCTGCGGACGGGGCGCCGCCGAAAACCAATACGAATCTCTTCTTACGCACGCAGGGGGATGAAAATATCTATATATCCACTGGCACCCCTTTTAAACTCGAAAGATAACACACCGCACGCGGAATAACTTCGGAGATTAATAATTTTCAATCGCTCCACAGGCACGAAAATGAAAATGAACACATTTTGATTTCGTTTAAGATCCCACCCCGGCGCATTCACCAAAAATTCAAATAAACAAGTCTTTTGGGTATTTTATGAGCTGGTAGATAGCTAGTTACTCTAGCTTCTCAATAATGAATGTCGCTTTGACACGGACATTCTTTTCGTTGTGTGTTGATTCAAGATGGAAGATTCGGACACAACTAATATCAACAGACTGGGCCCGAGTACGTTAAGTGAATATTCATGAGGCCGCATCGAGTTACCTCGCGGACATAGATATCGTGTATCGCGCCGTGGTGAAGAAGCGATAATGAATTTGTTTTTGGTGTGGTGGCCCACGGTCGGACCTTCCGAATTTGTTGCGTTGCATGCTGCTAATGAGCGCCCATCAACGGCGCACCGAAAATGTTTTTCATTACGTTTTAATTTACAAAACACGATGCGGCCTAATCGGCATATTATAAATTAAGACGTACTCGAGTGAAACAAGGTACAAACTAGTAATTGAATTCTGTAAAAGTGGGTTTTTCGTCAATTTTTAAATTGTTTTTGATAATTTTTGGCTAAATTATAAAATTTTAAAAGGTATTTCTTTGTTTATATTATGTATTTTGTTATTATCTATCACTTGCAACAAAAATAAAGAAATTATCACGTTTAGTTTAAAAGTTATAACGATTTTTAACTTAAATTCCAAAAAAGTTTCGTTTTTCATCAATTTTTGAACACTTTTATTTAAATATTAACTAAACTATTAAATTTCAAATATTTAAACAAACGTTATTCAAAATATTTGATTAATATCTACATTTTGCAACAAGAATCATATCTGTATCTCCTTTAGTTTAAAAGTTATAACAAATTTTAACTTAAAAATTCGATAAAAATCGTAATTCTACCCGATTTTTGGCAGTTTTCTTTAAATTCCCACTAAATTAACAATTAATAACCATCCAAACCTACTCTATGCTACACCCCTTACTAATATCTACCTTTTACAACAAAAACCACCCCTGTATCTCTTTTCCTTTAAAAGTTATAACGATTTACAACTTGAATTCCAAAAAAGTTGCGTTTTTCGTCAAGTTCTGAACACTTTTCTTTAAATATTAACTGAACTATAAAACATCAAATATTTAAACAAACTCCATTCGAAATATTTGATTAATATCTACATTTTGCAACAAAAATCAAACCTGTATCTCCAACAGTTTAAAAGTTATAACTAATTTTAACATAAAAATTCTATAAAAAAGCATTTTTACCCAATTTTTCCGCAGTTTTCTTTAAATTCCCACTAAATTAAAAATTAATAACCATCCAAACCTACCCTATCCTATACCCCTTGCAAATATCTACCTTCTACAACAAAAACGACCCCTGCATCTCTTTTCCTTTAAAAGTTATAACGATTTACAACTTGGTATAGTTTAAATTTGCAAAAATTTCCATCCGCGTTTAGCCATCTTTGATTGTATGATAATCCGAGCGCTCCTCGTCATATCAGCGACGTTTCTGCTCGCGCCCGAAGGTGATAAGCATGCGGCTTCTTCCCGGTGGGGCCTGGACGATACATATTACGTTCGGGGCCAGTGTGATAGCATCGCCACCGCCGCGCCGCCTTTCACCCTAACCACCACCAGAGCACCGGCTGGCGGAGTGCGCGGCGCGCCAACTTCGGACTAAGAATCATTAAGATAAAGCCCGCAGATTAATGGAAAACTGTAGCGGAAAATTTTACGTAAAAATTACACTACTTTATATCATTTCGCGATAACTTTTTTAAAACGTTATTATACAACCTCGGCGCTTAAACATAAATTTTACGAATTTTTCACCGCCAACCGCATTAAAATTACAGAATAAAATAAAGTATCTCATGTTATAATTAAAATATGTACATATCTAAATGTGGCTTATTAAGAGATAAACTCACACTTTCTAATTTAATTTCAAATGTTTTTCTCTTCGTGTGAAGTGAAAATCTCATTGGAACAAATAAATCTCTTAACGGTACTCAATAAATAACTAAAACACGCAAGTGACGATTAAATAAATTTTTCTATTGACATTTTATTAGATGCAACTGATGTTGACAACTTTGGTTGCATGTCACCGCGTCGTCTACGCAACCACATGACGTGCTTCTTTAAGAGCACAATCACAATCACGTACGTTTCACATTCGAAGCCGTCCGCGATATCCACCGATATTAATATAATTAATGTTTCCATTAACATTAATTACAACCACAACTAAGCGCACTTATCACTTATCACCAAAACGCATCGAAATTAATTATTGTGTCAGCCATCTTAAATATCTTAATATTTATTTATAAAATAAGTATAAATTTCAACTGCAAAGCGCGGGAAAGAAAAAAAAACCAAAGTTTATTCGAATCTTGATAGGAGGCGGCTCAGGCGGCG